TGGTGTCACCCCCCCCCCCAGAGGCATAGAGACCCTTCCCAGGGACAAACTTTCAAATTTTCGATTTGCACCCCCCCTCAAACTTTCGATTTGCACCCCCCCCTCGAGTTTTCGATTTGCACCCCCCCTCAAGTTTTCGATTTGCACCCCCCCCCCCCTCAAACTTTCGATTTGCACCCCCCCCCTCGAGTTTTTCTCTATATATTTTGCTATTTTTTGCCTTGGTGTCACCCCCCTAAATGGTGTCACCCGGTGCGGTCCGCACCCCCCCGCCCCCCCCCCTCGCTACGCCCCTGTCTTGCGCACAGATTAAGAAACAGCAGAACTAAGCTGACGTATAAAGATTTGGAAATTCATACAGTACCTGAAATAGATCTTGTAATTCTCGGTCTCTTTTAAAATTTCGAAATCTCGTTAGCCAGGGAGAGAGATAAATTTTCGAACTAAATTAATTGTTGTGAACATGATCCCATTGATAACCTTAATCATGGCAAAACTCTTCTCTAGAAAAATAAATCGCAATTTAACGAAGGGTACATTTTTCTTTAAGCTAACCTACATCTTCTAGCCGATCATTATCATTGTTAACAATTTTAAATAACAATAGCGAAAGTAATTTTTCTAATATTTATTTAACCGATTTAATAAAAATATTCATATTTGGTTTGAAAAAAAAAATAACTGGCAAGTACGAGAAGTTAGTGACCTACTTACAAGACCTAATTTACCGATATGCATAGGATGACGTAAGCTGTCATGAGGGGGTCACAGTGCTTGGTCGGACCTATAAGTGTATAAGTATAGACAGATGAACTTGTGACTTCTGACTGCGGGACGTCCCTGAGTCCACCCAGCTGTGATGGGTACCTGACTCGGGGGGGGGGGGGGGGGAGTAAAGACGGCTGGACATTGTGCTGACCACACTATCCCATCATATGCCGAGGTCAAGAAACATAAATGGATCTACAGGTCTAAAGAGGAACTTTACATTTTTACAGGTGAAGAGTATGACCCCCCCCCCCCCCCACACACACACCAGTTCGGTATAAAAAAAGGTTTTGACGCAGACAAGTAAAATGCAGTTTTTATAGAATGTCTAATTTAAAAAAAAAAGTTGAAACTAAACTTAAAATTTGTTTTTTTCGTGAAACAAAGGAAATCGGAAATACAAAAGATTTTTGTTAGCCTACTACTATTACAAATTTTCCATGAACTGACCGAGAAAAAGCTTTTTTAAAAACCCCTATAAATAGCAATGTTAGGATGGGTAGTGAACTTTGCAGTTTAAAATCGCGGGGTCCAGAATGTAGAACAGGCGCCATATTTTTTTTTAACAACAAGTAGACTTACACTAGCAAAAAACCCGGAGCACGCTACGGCGCAAGGATACGTACGAGAGAGGCTGAATGAGATAGCAAGGACGACCCGGACCGACATGATATAAATAGATTTTCGTGCACAAGTGCAAAGAGTTTTAGGATGCTAAAAGTTCAAGCTATGCCGGGGGGCATTTGCTGTAAATATTGCAGTTAATCTAACTAAACAATGGTTGCGTGTGTAAAAAATTTGTTATATAATATAAAAATTATAGTAAAAATCAATAAATCGATGAAATGTATAATAGTTATCTATCTATACAGGTATACAGGTATACGTTTTTATGACTCATATTACATATTATGTGTGTGTGGTGTGCAGGGGCGTAGCGACCTTCCCGGCGCCCGGGACAAACTTTTCGATTTGCACCCCCCTCCCCCCCCCCTCAAACTTTCGATTTGCTCCCCCCCCCCTCAACCTTTCAATTTATTTTTCCAACCCGTTTTGACGCCCCCTAAGGTCGGCGCCCGGGGATATATGTCCCCCCCCCCCCCGCCCCTCCTCCCCCCCCCCGCTACGCTACTGGTGGTGTGTTGGTGTGGTGTTTGTGTGTATGTATACTTTAGTTTGTATATTTGAATATAAGCTCAGTAATAAGAAAAAAAAATAGTTGGATATTATTTTAAATACCCCTAGATGACAACAAAATTAGAATAGGCCTGCAACAGCTGCTAGTGAGAATCCGCTTGTGACCAGTCTCTTCTTGAGTGAAGCTGTAGACACGCCTTGGGCGTCAGCCATTTCCATAATGAGCAAAAAATGTTTTTCAAAAAATAATTTACAAGTGCTCTTGGAAGTCTGGGCAGATACACAGCATAACACTTCAATAGGACAATGACTTGTTTTACTCATACAAACTTTGCTACCGCAATAGAATGTATAATATATATATATATATATATATATATATATATATATATATATATATATATATATATATGTGTGTGTATGTGTGTATGTACACATACACACTTATGGCTAACCTAGAACCAGACTGTTCTAACTCCACTTTTTTTTTTAATGTTCCCAACAAGGCTTTAAAATTTTGTTATCCTTGAGATTTTATTTCAAGGACTAGGTGAAATAAAAGTGTCGTGTGAGAGATACATAGTCACACAATTTTTTGCCATGATGCCTTGTTGGATTTAGAACACTACATTGTACACATCTCTTTAACAACAACAACAAATGATAGAATTAGAACAGTCTGGTTCTAGCGGAGCGATATATAATTATATATTTACTATATAATGTGCACACTTACAGACTTATATTGACCCTATTCGTTGAGTTCAAGGCTGAATTTGTTTACCGTGTTAGATTGTATCAGATGAATCGATGCCGTCTGTGAACTGACTGAGTATTGTGGGGTCATGGTAAAAAGCTGACCTAATTAACCTCTCTTTCAGACGTGTTATTGGTGAATGTGATTAATGTTTGCGTTTACTAGTTACTATTTAATTATATGTTTAGAGATCAGAAACTACCAACAGTGGATGGTTATATTGCAATGAATTAGAACTGATTATCTATTTATTTATTTTAGTAATGTAAAAATTCTATAAAATTCAATACCACTAATTCAGTGACCAGGGTTTTGATAAATTGGATTGTACAGATTGGTAAAAATCTTCAATCATCACATTGCTGTAGCGAAGAGTATTTTTCATTTTTTTTATGGGTACATAAATATTTTGACACACCTACTAGTGAAGAGGGGGTGGGGCGCTTCTGTGACGTGACAAGAAAAAGTTGACTCAGGAAATGTACTTATTTTGTAGGCCTGGATTTTAAGATACATTTTTTTTTTACGATTTATGACTTTTTTCTTTTTTTTTTTGGGGGGGGGGGGGGGGGGAAATAAGGGTCAACACGTGTCTGTATGTGATGACTATGCAGCATGCTTCAAACATCTACAAAGGATTTTACACTGAGACACAATTCATTGAAAGGTAATTCTCTGGCAGCCTAAAATGGCATTATTGGCCATAATGACATGGTTTTTCACCCAGTCCGTATTACACAGTATATACTTAGTAGTATTGACAATATGAATTTTTCTTTGGTCTGATGGCAATTCGTGAGTTTCAAGTTTATGTTCCTTATAGTTCATTGAGATACCCACAAGAAATGTGAGTTTCAGAAAATTGAAAATTACGTAATATCGAAGATATTTTCTCCAATAGGTACCCAAATAAAAACGAAAAAAATTTAAAATTAATATAATTAAATATGTAATAAAAGTATGGTTTTTAAAATATAAATATTATTAAATTTTAAAATCTAGAAAGCATATAGAACAGTTTTTTATTTACTTATTAATAGTAACAATGTTCAATATATGTTTTTATACATATTTAACAACACATTTCTTGATATTTCTTTTTATTTTACGAGTCTAGTTGCTTTAATGCAGTATTAAGGAAAATTGAAAAAATTATCTAAGGGAAGTAAATGTGTTAAATTGTTACTTTTTAGGAATTACTAATACTATGGTGGATTAAATGCATTTTCATTTTAGATTAAATTATTTGAAATTTCACATTTTAAAATAGGAATTAAGTTGACTTTAACTGTAATAGTCTAAAATCAAGAAATGCATTTACTCGTCAAATAAAAAAGATCGCGTTTCACATTCTCACCTGCATTATTTTTAGGCGTGACTAAGCGTATAAAACAACCACTAACGGTTCCAGTCAAAATATAGTGTGAGATATACTCGCCCTATACACTACACTCGCAGTCAATATGAAGAGCCCCGACGTTTTAGAAGATTTTGTTTTGTACATTGTACTCTGAAGAATAGGGTCTTTATTTCTCGTTGAAGTAAGCTATTGAAAAAAATTAAAAAAAAAAAAAAAAAAAACAGAAGGTGATAGATGTGGTAGAAAACACGCCTTAATAACAGTTTATTATATCAAATTGTATAAACTTTATTTTTTACGGTTTACTAAATACCTACAACGTAACATAGACGAACCAATGTTTCTTCTCTATATCGAAAAATATAAACAAACAATTTAAGACTTTCGTAAATGATGACAAGATAATCAGCAATTTTGGAAATTACAAAGTTTCTTTTCAGGCATCTCTTCGCCTTCACCACGGAATTTAACGCCACCTTACCCACCCACCCCCCATCCGTCGAAGGTTTCTAGTGCACCCATCTACCTCCCCCCCCCCCCCCCCCCCATTTGTCTAAAAGAAGCACTGTTAAACAATAAAATAATTACAAATATTATATAGAATAAGCCAATTTTACTACCTAATCAAATTTTCACAATTTTATCTATTCTCACGCACAATGCATTTTTGGGTAATTGGATCATCTCACACAAAGCCATTGCTCAAATTTTCCTTAAAACAAATCGATTTAGAGTAATATTGATTCATTGATAGCAGGCCAACTAATAAATTATTAGATACTGCAATGATGCATAAAAGCAGCAATGTAGGCCACTGATAGATCTATATCTACATTAAATTTCGATCTAGAAATGTTATAAAAAAACGGAATATCAATACTACAGATTTAAAAATTTAAATGTAAAATTTGAAATATGTAAAGGCTTAATGGCTACTTTTCAATGTCTCGTGTATTAGCCGATCAGTAGTGACGCACAGACACCGTATCCCATGTAAACATCAAACAATATGGCGGCTTGAGATTATTTATTAATATTTTTGTCTTTGGAAACAATGGTTCTATTTGAAAATGTCTGTATAGGGCAAAGAGTAGAGGTGCAGTGGAAACACGGAATCTATCGAGGAACAGTGAAATTTAAAGGCGTTTTGTCGACAAAAAAGGGAGATTGGGTTGGCGTGGCTCTTGATCATCCAGGTGGGGTTTCTCTCGCCTCAAAAAAATGATCAGTCTCTTCAACACTCTCTTGGCTCTCGTCTCTGACGATCAGTCACTGACCAAAATTGAACTTTTATTTAACTTCTTCCTTGGTAAAATCTATAGCTGGATTTCTAGATCTAAAACAAGAAGTTCTTGTTATACGTCTATAATCTAGATCTAGCACTATTATTAATTATATTTAATATTTGAATTGGATTTATTTTAGAATTCAATTTGAGTTTGAGCTTAGCAGGCTATAATAATGAAACAATTACTTATTACTACTTAAGTTACAGTAGAAAAAGTTAAGTAGATATTAATTATAATCTAGAATTTCAAATCTAGAATACTAGATAACTAGCTAAATACTTTAACACACAGACACGAACAATATTCAGTTATTATTATTATTGAAAGAAAAAATTCCATGATCTGCCAGCGTTTTTTTTATTTTTCTGAAGCCTAACTTTTTACAGATTCATTAGACTTAGGCCTACATGATTATCTTATTATCATTATTTTAAAATATGTAACTCTAACATTAATCAGCAGATTCTAAGATTTGACTTAGTATGAAAAATCCAGTTTTTTTTAAATTTAATGTTATTTTAATTCAATCTGAGATTAATTTTTAAATCCTAATACTCCTATACCAAACTAAATGGATAAAACAACCATCTTTGCATTATTTTCTAGTTTTGGATAAGCATTATAAACTTTACAAAACGAAACCAACTCTGTTTTTTGTTTGACAGGAAAGTACTGATAAATGAAAATGTCTTGTTGACTATTACTCTGATTTCATAGATCTAGTAACATAATTACTAATCTAACCTTCCTGATACCTAGACTAATTACTAAAATATGGATTTCTTCAGGATAGTGCACAAATCTTGCTACTTAATCAAGATTGTAAAACACTAAAGTTTCCATTCAGCATCTGCTTATGCCTAACTTTTTTCAAGTGATTTATTTTGTCAGGAAATACTAAGTTAATGTCTTATTCTTGTAGTTGGAGATACAAATGGGATGATTCTGGGCAGAAGATACTTCCAGTGCCCAGAGAAATGTGGAGCATTCGTCAGGGCAGATAAAATAAGGTTTATACAATCTGGTCGATGGTGAGTGATTTCACATTTTCAGTTTTTGTGAAAACTTAGTGTAACTAAGTTCACTGAAAACCGGACCTCTTGAATAGATTCTCACTAACATGTTATCATAATGTTATGCATTATGTGTAATCAGCAATTAATTACTATAATTATTAAAAAAATACACCATTCTAGCATTTTTTAATTCTCATTATTTATTTCCATTTTAAAATAGTAATATTAAAAAAAAAAAATATAAAATTTACTTTAGGCCTATTATTTAAATCCTCATTAAATCTTGGTGATTTGTTATCTACAGCTTAATTTATACTTGCAAGATTTCAGTTTGGCATTTGATAAACTAGTTATAGTTATGTGTTCAACCTATTCTTCTTTTCTTCAGTTTGTTTGACAAATATCACAAAGTCGCCAGCATTTCTTATGTTGATGATTTTTTGTTCGATTCACCCCGTAAGTATATTATTGGGTTTTTGTTGATTAAATAACCTCTGCATAGCCTAGCGGGTAGAGTGCTAGACTGCAAATCTAAAAGTCGAGAATTCAAATCCAGGTTCAAGTCAGTCTAACCATCCTGAGTCCACCCAGCTCTGATGGGTACCTATCGCATGTCCCTCCTGAGATTTGCCATAGCTTTATAAAATATACATTAATGTTACTAAGAACAGAAAAACTTATATTAAAATAGTCATAAAAGTTACAAACAAGCAAAATGTGTTTAATTTTGATCTGCTTACAATTTCCCCAATTGTTTTTCTGTAGTTGTGTAACTGCTTTTTACCTTTTAAGAAACCTTAACAAACACTATTTCAGATTTGGGGATCAATAGGGCAAACCAAATAGAGTTTATCTGTTTCTATCTGGGTCTTTTACCTATGGCTAAGCTTCAGTTTAGCTATTGGGTTGTTGTTAGTGATATAGCTAAATCATTTTTTTTTACACACTCTTCAAATACTACCTTTACATTGTTGTGTATATCAAAGTGAAATCAATACTGTTTTTTGATAAATTTATTTCAATCATTTCAGCACTAGAAGTTAAAAATGGCCCTTACGACCCAATAAAATTGTCCGTTGATGATTTTAGACGTGCCAAAAGTTCTGTTGGAGGTATGTTTAAGTTGTGAACATTGTGCTTCTTCAATATGTGTGGTATAATTAAACAATAATTATTTTTAAAAAAAGATGAAATTTCACTTGGTCTCAAACGATTGGATTTAAAGTAAAACTAAACCATCAAAATTTTGTATTTAAGTTAAAATCCATGCTTGTTAGTTCAAACCTTTTATTGCGTGGGAAACAAAATTCTCTGTGGATTTTCTACCTCTTATTAGTAAAAAAAAATATAGGGTTTCTATGCATTTTGTTACTGTAACTGCTTTAGCCTTAATAGGTTTAATTAGCTTTAATATCTGCATTTGGCAACTTATCCAGAAGGTCTCAAGTTCACATCTTGGTCTGGACTTGAGACTGTATATCAACCCTGAGTCCACCCAGCTCAAATGGGTACCTGTCTCACCTTAGGGAACAAATACGTATACGTTAATTATTGTAATTTATTTTATATTTCGCATATATTATATTTTGTAATTATAATTTATCTACTTGCAGATTATAATAGATCATCTGTCTGGGAAAAACCAAAGCATTACAGCTTAAGACATTCTGTTGGTAATTTTATTCCCGCTGCTACCATGCTGCGCAGTCAAACAGCCTCCAAGCCATTCAGGTATGTGTGGGGAGAGGTGGTGAGGGGTGAAGATATTTGGTCAAATAAATTGAGCGTTGGTCAAAGGTGTTGAGGGGTGGTGAGAGTTAGTCAAAGACGTTGAGGGGTTGTCAAAATTATTAAGGGGTGTTTTAGAGGTGTTGAGGGGTAATGAGAGGTGGTGAAAGATGGTGAGGGTACAAAGGAATAGATGTTCTGGCATTGGGATCTAATTTCCTTTTACCAAAACAACCAGTACAAGATGTCTAAACTAATTTTTTTTTTATACTGCATCAGTTACCCAAAATAATTATCATATGCCATCAGGAACAGGTCTAAAATATTTATTATGCTCCATCACTTATTTGTCTAATATATTTTATTATACTCATTAACTTATTTGTCTAAAATATAAGTATAGTCCATCAGCTACTTGTAAAAAAATTGTAAATGTAATTCCAACAGTTATTTGTCTTAATACTATTATTTCATTCCTTTGGAAACTTCTCTTACATGTTTTATTTTATGCCGTCAGTTAATTGACTAAAAATCATTATATTCCATCAGTTAATTGACTAAAACATCATTATATTCCATCAGTTAATTGACTAAAAAATCATTATATGCCATCAGTTAATTAACTAAAAAAATCATTATATTCCATCAGTTAATGAACTAAAAAACCATTATATGCCATCATTTAATTGACTAAAAAAATCATTATATCCCATCAGTTAAATGACTAAAAAATTCCTTATACTCCATCAGGTACTTATCTATTCCCTTACATGTTGACTACTGGTCAGGAGATGAATTTGAAAGGAAACCATCCATACCCAAAATTCACATGCCTCGTTCTGCATTAAAAGAACAGGTAAATCTATTTTACTTTGCTAAAATATTTAAATTAAAGCAGTCTACAACATTTAATAACTGAGTCATTATCTAGCAATATTTAGAACTCAAGCGAAGTAACCAAGATAATTTATTGAAAATATGTATTACTTTGGTTGCTTCCCTTTAATTTTATTGGTAGTTATACTTTTTCTTGATATTTAGGTGCAGAGAGGATGGGATGGGGCTCATTATGTCAGGGAGATGACTATACCAACTGGGAGGGACAAGATCAAGTTTGCACAGTGGAATGACATTTCACCTTGACATCTCAAATGTCACTTTTGTATCTCAAGGCCATGTCAGTTGATGTCACAGCCAATTTTTTACCTCCTTTTTAAAAATCAGTCAATCATAAATTATTATTTTTTTTTAAATACATATTTTATTAGACAATAAGTTTTAAAAGGCTGAAATTATTGCTGAATTACTGTACTAAAACAAATTACTAATCACGCAGATGAATTGAAGTAACCAGATTTTTAAAAAAATAATTGAAAATTAAGTTTACATTTTATCAACCTTGCACTGGCTTAATTATTAAAAAAAAATGTTTTTGTAATTCAATTTTAAACAACAATTTTTTTTAAAGAATTGTTTATTGTGTATTTTAATTTTTGAATGTTGTATGTGACTGATTATTAATTGTTTGTTTTGGTTGTTAGACTGCACTGTTGTCAAATATAAAACTTGCACACTGTGATATCAGTTTTAGTCTTTCAATTTTGAATCATGTAATTAAATAATTATTTTCATCAAAATAATCAGGCAAATTGAGTAACCACATGCCCACATTAGATTGATTTTTTTTTCAACACTTTTTTAGAGTTGTCTTATAGTTAAGCTGACTTTTATTTAATTTATAATATTTGCACACTTTTTCTGCTCCAATACTTTTGTAAAATTTTGTTCTTTTGTGCTCAAAATTAAATTTTTTATTATGCAACACTTAAGCCTAGTTTTGATTACCTATTAAATTGTTTTTAAAAAATCATGTTTTTCACCATTATTTAACAATTTGTTTTGAGGGTGTCATTAGTACAGTAACTGAGGGTGTCACTTGGTACAG